GTATCTATACGAGTAATCGCGCATTTATACTCCTGGATAATAATTCCTATACGTTTCTCATGAGAACAACAATTCCGTACATAAATCAACATGGCGGGACAAAGAACGCGTAACCGTTCAAACAATCCTACTACTTTGCGAACTTAGAATCCAGTTAAGAAGAAACTGTCGCTCGTGTAATTCTCGTTAATATCATTACGCCCACATACAATAAACAATGCAAAGCAATATCCAAGACCAAACGACCAATCCCACCATTTCGCGTTCCTTGACTCTCGTGCTTCTGGTTAATGATTTACATATGATGTCAAAATGGAACAAAAAAGGCCTTTAGCCGTTAACTACCTCCCATTGAATCATCCTCATTACCGATACCTCTTTAGGAGCATTCGAAATACATAAATCGTTTCCAAGTGATTTATTAGTCTCGGGTTGCACCGTTTCGATTTACGTTAGGGTGATTCTGGGAAGCGATAATGTCAGGCACCCAGAAAGATCTTCCATAGCAGCGTCCCCACGCGATAATTCGTGTGATAATATGTACAACATCGGGTTTTCAAGTGTCCTGGCTCGAACTCACTTCGTAACATGCCTCTTCGATCAGTTTCTTGGCCTGCTCCTAGTTTGACTTTTAGTTGGGTTCGTAGTTAAGCTTGTAGTTTAGTTTGTAGCTTGGCCTGTAGATAATTCGCAGTTAGGCTCTTAAGGTGAAGTGAAACCCCCTTCAAATCAGCCGATTCGAATACAACACTTTTTTTTTAAGGGTATTGGACCAAACTGTCCGAAACTTTGACACATCACTCCGGATCATCTAAGAATTGTCCTGACACATTCAAAATGTGGATGTTTCAAACAAATTTTTTAACTCAGCCCAGACCAGAACCAAAATGACGTCGAGCTCTAATATTTCGATCAATATACAATTATCGAAGGCTCTGGTATGAGAATCGAAAGGGTCAGGACAATTTTACGACAATTTAGAACACTCTGGTAATCGATAAACTCGCATTTGAACGGGATAAAGGCAAGAAAAGTGTTGTATGCGCTTCTATGCTAAAACGATGGTAATACGAGGTCTCGGAGTGAAAATTTAATTGACCTGGAAATCACAGATGGCGCAGGGGGTCCCTCTGCAGTCAATTAGGGCCCCAGAAAGCATGAATCCGGAGGATTTCTGGAGTTTTACTTCGATTTCTTTATAATTATTGTACGAAAACGACAGGTGGAGTATGCCATTTGGTACAATACCCAATATAATTCGACACAGCTGTCAATATAAAAACGAACGTCGGCAACGTAGGCATTTAGAAAAATCTTCTTTATCGACGTTGATCAAGTTCCTCGACGTGTTTCACTTCACCTTAAACAGATTGAATATTGTATGTAATTTGCCTTAATTTCATCGACCTTATTTTGTTAATAGTAGCCAGTGCAAATGTATGCGACACAAGAAATTCTTTTTGTGTTCTAGAAAGTGATTTATTCACTCGGTGTAGTGCAATGGACGTTAGATAAAAGTGTCTTGGCTAGAATTTGGCTCGAAATTCGGCTGAAAGCGTAGATCGGATCTCGACATTCAACTCATTGACATCGTTATTTTCGAGGCCACAGAACCCGAAGGCACTTGCCCTTAGATTACGGAACCCTAATCTAACTTTTCATCTCTTAATTTACCGGGCAACGGAAATTTAACGAAATTCCAGGTTCCTGCCCCATGGATGACCGTCTGACGACTCACTGAATCGCAACCCTCAAACTAATGGCCTCCGCTAGGGAAAACTATTCCAAGAACTTGGGAGAGATTCCTCGATCCTCGTCCTCTGTGAATTTACGAACACATTTATTACCCCATATTAACTCCTAATGACTGAAACGAATTGGAATCCAACTTTTCCGTGACGTTCATGTAACGATAAATAGAATTAATTAAACAATATGTTTAGTTGTTACACGTGTATAAAGTAATTCATTCTCACGTCGGTTACGTATGGTTCCAAATAACAAAATGGGTTTTGGAACGTAGTAACGCTGTTGTGCACCAAATAAATATTCCAGGACTATTTAGAGTTACGTGGAAGACACAGAATGTCTGTTACCACATGAATAGTTTAACATATAACAGAAAATATAACAATACAATATGATGATCTATTCGAGTTGCGAGATCGATGTGAGTTTAGTTGTGGATGTTTTGCTTCTGGTCGACTAAAAAAGTTGAGCTCCATGGAAGACTCCGTTGCCTTAGTGGGAAAAGAAAAATTCCGCGGAAAAGGGAGAATGTTGTCCCTTTTTTACGACTTGGGACGAAAGATTTTCGCTTGCCATGAGTCGCAAGTAAGGTCATTTTTACCCGCTTGGTACATGTCCAAATAACATCGAAAATCACGTGCACTTTATGGCAGGATGAAGACCCTTCAAATTGCCTTTTTACTGCGACGCCCATCGTGAGAAACGAGTGAAACTCAAGACTCGAATCTTAGCACATGTGTTTTCCAACTGATGCAAACTAATGTTAACGTTTCATGAAATTATATGTTAATTTACAAATATTACGTCCTCGAGACGACACATAAGGATACGTGTACTGGTAGGCATGAACGCCTTGCCTACGGATACGGCACCGTCAGTGTATGTGCGGCAGAGATTTATGTATTCCGTGTTCTTCCATAAAGGTACCAATTTCAGGTTGGGTTTGGGAACGAAAGTACTTATACCAAAGTCAAAAATAAAAGCGGATGCAAAAGTCCAAACGATGCGAAACTTTCGTATACAGCAAAAGCGAAATCAAATATGCGCGACAACCCTGCTTCACGCGGACTTGGCAGATATCGCTATAGGAGAGTGACATCTCTATGTACCCTTAACACGTTCCGTGCCACGTGTACCACCGAAAGTGCGCGTTAACCTTCGGGTGGTACACGGCGTGGCACGGAACGTGTTAACGACCACACAATACTCCTGCTGTACTTCGTCTAACAAGAGCTGTAAGAGTCATTACACTTTCTTGCTTATTCCACATACAAATCTCACGCAAAGTGTGCGAAGGGACCACACGCCCTGACTCCTTCACCCCTGTAGACGCACTCTCAAGGTGTTGCCCGAGGACCAACCCTGGGAAGGAAACTTCGGCCAGAGAAACGACTCGCTTTTAGCTCGTTCCAAAGTACGGCGGCAGCTCACGGAGGCCTCTCATCAAAAGTTCCCTTTTCTCTCTGGCTCGGTAACCGCAGAAACTCTTTCTCAAAGGACATCTCCTTTATGCGGACCGACACAAGGGCCGGTCTGTGGCGCCGCGCTCGGGAACCGGAAGATCACTCCTGGGCCCGAATGGACCCCTTGAATAGGGACGGAGGATCCCTCGGAATATGGGAAAATCTCGACGGGCACTAATGGGGTGGCTGCGGTGTACCTCTGAAAATGGTCTCTTCCGAGATCCGAGTGCGCAACGCCGAGGCGCACTTCTGTCGCCCGTCGAGGAGAGCAGCCGAGCCATATCTGGCAAGGCCGCTAGTCCATATGGGATTGGGCCGAGTAATGGGCTTTACTCTCTATCTGCCAACTCGAGACGTATACCTCGGGCTGGAACGACTCCTCAAAACGACGTCGTTCACCGCGATCGCTTTCTAGGGGAAAGACAGCCGAGACAGGCGGCGCGCTAACGACATCCATTCATAGATTCTTCGATAGGCGAGGTGTACTCGGAGAATTATTTCTACCCTGTGATAACTGCACTCGACATGGTTACCGCAGCTACCGTAACGGGCCTTGTTCTCAGCCTCCTGAGTCACCAGACCTCATGAAAATGGCATCATTCGCTGCGACGAGTTCAAGGCAAGCAATGGTCTTGGAACCTCGCTTGGCACTTACCGAGAAGTTTCCGCACGCATAGGATGCAACTCTGCGGAGGAATTTTGCTTTGTAACGTGACCCGGCAAAACTGAAGCAACAGCAATTTTTGGAAGCCATTTCGTGCTTTTAAGGTGATGTGAAAGTGGCGACACGGAGGTCTCGTTTATGAAAGTTGCCTCTGAACTGGGTGTATCGAATCGTTTCAAAGTATACAACGTGAAGATGGAGGCTATGAGAAAGGTCCTGACCCCCATGAAATTTGAATTGTATAAAAACCTATTGAATAATAAACTGTTAACACATTCGCGACCGGTACATTTTTCCCGTTTCAAATACTGAGTACCGGCGAAAATAATGAAATTCTGAAACTGGTTGTCGCATACTTGTATCGTTAAAGGGCGTGATTCACGTCAGCGGTCGCGAATGTGTTAATAGGTATTATACAAATTTTTTATTAAAAATGAAATTTCATGGGTGCCAGGACCTTCCCTATAGCCTCCATATTCATGTTGTAAAGTTTGAAACGATTGGGTGCACTCAGTTCGGAGGAAAGTTTGATGAACGATCGGCCACTTTCACATCCCCTTATGTTAAATCGCAATTTATTGTGCGGAGCATATAGGCAATTGGCGAATGTATTCGACCGTAGGGATTACTTAATTATTATTAATGCTTCGTGTGTACAATTGCGATCGTAATGGATCCTAAATTCTCTACTTGCTGAGTCGCGGTAGTCTGTCAAGCACGATTGATGAAATCGACGCTCCTGGCCGCGATGACTTGTCGAAGGAAAGATCGCAGCGGCATATCTGGTGCCAACGACTTCCATTGTTGATTAGATGATACGTCTGTCTAATCGTTAGCATTACTCGTACATGAATCTTTGATTTATGGCGATTTCATTTCAAATGTTTGCAGGAACAACCATAGCAAGCCTTGGTTTCTATCTTCGACTCAGGATGTCCCAGCAAAGACGACTCGTGAAAACGCTATCGGTCTTCGAAATTACTTTCTAGAAACAGGGTAGTAACAGAACACTACTAACAATCGCGGTTATAGATGTTCAGATATATCCAGTGAAGTATTACAGTCATTTACTTAGTCAAGATTACTACACATTTATTTACATACACGAAGGAGTCAATACATATGACATTATTCTTTCTTTCAGAAAAATAAATGATTACAAAATTCTTATTAAACGTTCGTCATAATTTGGTTAAGAATGAATGGAATTACTGATCCATTTTTTGTTCCTAAATTATCCACAGTCTTAAACTATTCAATCAATAATGAACGATACGTGATAATACGTACGAACCGTACTTATTAAAATATGGAGTAAGATGTGAAAACGGTAAGACATTGAAGGACGGAAAGTATTAAACGATAATGTAAAGGGTTACTTACATCGGGCCGAGTCTGCCGAAAGCAAATAGAGACTAATAATTTGGTGAAATTTTTTCTTTATTGTTTCTTACGAAATTTTTCTCATTTACAGCTCGTCCTTGTTTGTAAAATAATAACGTAACGCAGGCAACATTGTGTATAATAATATAATAACCATCGCCGGCGTCGTCGCCGGCGCGATAATAATGCAATTATAGTACTGGTACTACAATAATTAATATTATTTATAAACATAATAAGAGACCGTGTGATTGGGAGTCAGGGTTATAAAGCTTAGGCATGTGGAACGCGCCCGAAACTCAAACGCCACTCTATCGTATCAATGAGAAAAAAGGACAAAGAAACTGTTACCGGAATCTCAAACTCTCATCCAAAAATGCATAAATATCAACAATGAAGGTAAGGAAAATTTTCAAGTGCGGAAAGAAAATATTCAAAGAGTGATCAGATAATAAACGTCGTAAGAGCACTGCATCGAATTGAGTTACGTTTCGGGCGATTCCATAAGTCAAGTCGTATTCAAAATGATCGATTTCACGTCGACGGTCGACAGAACTTCACATCATTGAGCGCTTCAAACGAACGTCGATGAAGTAAGGGAAATAAAATACCCAGGGGATTTAAGTCCTTACTTTTCACGGAAATAAAAAAACGTCTGAGGGATTTCCTCGAATCACCGCCGAGCGCCGACATAGTGATTGGAGCGGTACGACTCGACTCCTCACTATTAGTAAATCGCTTACCGTACACGTTATTCTAAAAAATATGTCAGGTTCCTCGCTTTAAAATTCATCTCGTAGCGTTCTCTCGGTCCTCCTTGCTCCCACTCAACCTCTCGTCAACTAGCTCTCCTCTCGTTTCGGTCACTAAAATAACGCCTTGGCTTGGATGAGACAGCCTTGACCCGACGAAGGCCGTACCCCTCTTCGCCGGCTCTCTGCTAAGACACTTGGTACAAAAATGGTCTACGGTCACTTTTGGTATAAAAAACGTTTAAATATTGGAATGACGTTTAAGATCCGACACACGCTATCTATGCAGTCTGTTGAGAGGATAGAGTCCGATGCTCCGTACGCTTCGTCCTCGTACGTGATTCGCCCTCGACGACGTCCACCCGTTTCTGCCTACAAGTTCCCTCGCCGGTCCTGCCGTTGAGATCCGGCAGGTTGGGGCAGCTTCGGCAACACGTAAATAAATCGTCTTCAATAAATACAACCGAATAGACTATATAAATAAATAATTTCTTAATACAATCGTCGTCCGGGTGCAGGGACCGAGTGACGGTCGGGGTTGGGCAAGACCTTGCGATAACGAATAACGAAATAAAGGGTATGTTGGTAATTACTTTCCCAATGTACCAGGGTGAATCGGTCGGTAGTTTGTTCTGGGTGACTCCATGATTATTCATCGTGAATAGCTAATACTGTAGAAGAAACAAGCATGGATTTAACAGGGCATACAATTTTAACTCGTAAAAAAATTCTACAGCATATCGATATAAATCCAAAGACTACCGATAAATTACGGTTTGGAAGTCTACGTTCTTTTTTTTAATAATACGATAGAATTTCATGAGCAAACGTCAGGCATTTTGTGTACTAACTTATTTAACCAATCGTCTAATAAATTCTACAGTTTTCATAAGGACGGTCAAATAAACTGCCTCTTCGGTAAAAAGGGCAGTAAATATTATACGGGAGTTTAAAAATTATATTTCGAATTAAATATTACGAGACATGAGAAAATATAATTTTATTCTGACACTTTAAGTCGACATCTTTCGTTCCGAATATCGAGTTTAAACGTCGAAAAAAAGTGCCACTTAAATGAATAATATTTTCCGCTTCACCCTGAATATAAATTCGTAAAAAGTACGAGGGAAACCTTTTTTTAAAAAAATAACTTTTGATCATTTTCTGGTATTGCCCAACCGTGGAGACAATTGCCTCGGCCGGTGCTACTGTGTGCGATTCTTAACGGCCCGAGGCGTGAGATGAAGAGAAAGAGCAGGTGTGTGCGAGAAAGAGAAAAAGAGACATAGCGAAAGACAGGAAGAGGGGCAAGTCGATCGATTTGAATCGATCGTCACGAAAGACACGGGCGACACAGAGTGAACGTGCGAATAAAAGATCCTTCGTGACGTCGAACAAGCTCACGACTAATATTATCTACCATCTTGGGTACACCTCCTCTCCGTCTCCGTTCCTCTTCTTCCCGCTTCCCTTCGCTCTCTTTCGCTCCCTTTCCTTCGTTGTTCGCTCCCTTGATACACGTTAACCAGTGTGCTATTAACTTACGGGAAGCAAATCGATTGGGAAGTGATTAACGCAAAACGCCCGTGGTACGCCTAGAATCCCATAAATTTACCGACTAGTTAGAAGCCGATCTTCAGGGTGAACTTCTTCTGTTCATTTGCTCCTCGATCCCCTCCTTCCTTCGCTTTTCTCCATTTTTCATTAACTTTTAACAGCTTCACAAGCACATTTTGCCGAAGCATAATGAAAAAAATAATTCAGAGAAATTTGCGAAACTATTCCCTTTACGACCACGACGAATCACCACCATGAACGCTTTTAGAGACTAACATAGAGGTGCGTTCATCCTGGTGACTCATTCGTGAAGATCTCGCTTTACTTAAAAATTTGAAACTACAGATCTTCATATACTGGAAAGCCCTTTCGTTTAGGAGATAAATTTAGGGATCCGTTCCTGGGCATAATCTAAGCATCTAGGTATTTTTAATGCCCTGAAGGAGAAGCATGATTCGGAGAACGGTAGCCGGGGACGCCATTTTGGAGTACCATCTTAAGAATGATCGTGATCTCCTCGTCCGTCTAAGAACATATAACATCAATTTCAAACAAAATAATCTCTTATAATTACTCTATTGGCATTAAAATGTCTCGTTTGAACGTCTGAAGATAAATCGAGGATAAAAATTGATATAAGGCTACCGAACTTCGAACTCAATTTTCTCCGTACTCTCGAGCTTTCGTTCCCGATAGCTTATCTGTGCCTCCGATAACGCCTCGACAGATTCTAGCGCCCGGACTGCGTTAACTAAAACGGAAAATCGATCATTATCCCAGACTCAACGAGCCGTGATCGAAGCGAAGTCCAAGCTAAGAGTATTATCATGAAACCATTTCCGTTACAGCGGGTCACTTCGTTCGTAACGGGCCTTCGTGGACTTTGCTCAATTGGCTCGGTAAACTTTAAGCCGTTGATTTATGCACATCCAAGTCCCAGCTGAAGCTAACCATTAGAAGTCCTGCAGCTCGAATGGGTTCCTCTTGTGCCAAAGCATTCGCAAAGAAAAATATAGCGAGTCTTGCGAAATTAGCTCGTTATGGTCAGGAGACAAACCACCGTCGGGAACACTCCTAACGCCCACCCTAAAAATGCGCTCGAATCGACATTAACGCCTTCCCGGTGGAAGTCCAATTTCTACATGCTGTCCGAAGCTACGGACATAGGCCTTTTGTAAACAGGTGCTGGTATTCTAGAAAACCCTCCTCTCTCGGAAGCCGGCTTGGGATCTTTCCTAGGACTGGCGACGACCTGAGTATCCTGGGGTAGCACCACCGTTCCATTGCCATCCACCCATGCCTTAGTGAACTCCAAAGTGGCATCGCTCTCGCTTCTGGCACCCCCTGTATGGTCCTGATAGTCCTTCAACAGATCTTGCAACTTCTGCACGACTTCCTTGTCGTCCTGGAGATGACCAACCTTCTGAAGAATCTGCTCGAGCAACGGATTGGCCACCTTGGTGGGCGATGACTGAAGCGAGACCGAACTTACGGGCTTTATCCTGCGCCCGTTTCTATCGTACTGGGGTCCTCCGTTCACGGCCGGTTTGGGTAAGCTCTGTCTCGCTGGACTGCGTCTGGAGAACCCCACGGAGGTAGATATCGGTGTTGGACCCGCCGATGGGTTGACAAATGTATCCGCCTGCAGACTGGGTCTCTGCCTGGCCTGTCGACCGTTCCAGGTATTGTTGCCGGTTTGGCCCGGTGGACTCCTAGCTGTAGACCTGGGGACACCGGAAGCTTTGCTCAAGCTGCCCGTTGGAGGTTTCCTGAGGCTAGACCTTGCCGCTCCGCGTTTCATGGGGCTACTTTCTGGACTGGAATTGCCCTCTCTAGGGGTTCTGCTGCCCGACGAAGCCCTGGACAGGTTGCTGCTCTCGCGGACGATGGATCCAGCCCTTGGGGTGCGATCTCCGGAAGACGAGGCCACGCTCCTTGACGGCGATGCCCTCAGTGGACTTCCTGGACCAATCCTTGTCTTCCGTAGGCCTGTTTCGATGCTCTCGGTCTCCACGCAGGATCTCTCGGGCTCCCTCGTGGGTTGCTCTGAAACAAAACGGGAGCGGCGGTGAAAAAATCTACCCGACCAACGCGATAGATCGAAGGCGGGGACGCCCACGGCAGAGTCGGGTCCAGGTCCTGACCACGCATTGGTCACTGGTCGAAATTTACTCGGGAGCGTTCGCCAAATTCGTCCCGAACACCGCGTCGGTCAAAATCATTGGTCCCTCTTTCTTTTTCTGCGATCGGCGCGTGGGAAGTCAATGCACCCTGAACGGACCGAATTTTTAAACTCTTGATATCCAGCCTCTAGCGAAATGACACCTGTCGCTGATTATGTGGAGGACTCGACTTGCCAAAATTTGAAGCAAATGAAAGCGGGCCATTCATAACCAACATAAGTGCAATCATTACCAGAACAGGCCCAAGCATTGATAACAATTTCGAAAAATAATCACTAACTAATGCTAGTAGCAACGACATTATTATACCTTCCGTACGTTTATAGTAACTCTAATTAGGCCTGGCAAATCATGTGTTTATTGTATTTTCTCATCCTAATTACAGAGCGGGTAAATTAATATAAAGCAAGTATCGACTTTTGGTATTAAATCGATTTGGCATTGGCAAAATGATGAAACTCTTCGGCGTCTCAAAATTTGTTTTCTATAGAATCTGATCTGTACCAACTTAAATATCTAGACGATGTAAATAAATGACACGTGGATAATAGCTTAGCGTGCGTACCGAAGCACTCGGGTCATACTACATGGAGGCTACTCGAGTCGCAAAGATTGGTCAACGAGGTACTCGCTCCGGAGACAAGGATTTCACTGGAGCGACCTCGTTTCAGGCGCAAAGAGAGTAAAGATGAAGGGAATCGTTGGACCGGCTTCCTTCGAAGGAGAGAACGAGACAAAACCCCGCCAAAGATCCGGAGATTGCGACTCGATCGAACGGGTCGTGACCCTGGCCGAAGAGCGGGTCATCTCGAAGGACGAGAGAAAGAGTATCCACGCTGAAACTGGTGGAACGGTGTAAGATCATTGCGTTGACCAAAGAAGCGAGATGAAACATCGAATACGCGCCGATCCATGGGTTGAGGGATGTCCAGCGATCAACGGACCTTCGAAAGCCGCAGTTCTTCTCAAGAACAGCACATGATATATACGTACATTCGCTGATCGGTTGTGCCCAGTTGACATAAAATGTTTTCTACTCGATCAACAAAATCGTGACCATAAGTACATATACCTAATGGTACGAAAAGTATCCACAGCTTTCACCACTAAAGAGCGGGTAGTCAAGATCTACGGCACCCTAACTTGTGAACTAATTTCATGACGGAGTTGCTTATTGTTGATTGTTTTGAGAGTTGATGTAGATCAGCCTAACTTCCCCATAACGGAGAAAAATATTGTTAAATGTAGTTTGACTGAAACTGACATTTTTAATAATAATATAGGTGATTCAATGAAGGATTGATATCGGCTTCCTGGCAGTGTACTTTCAAGCGAGATAATTTCAACGTTATAGTCCTTGGATACGATTCATCGATCCCTGAGGGTCAATGGCCTAACGACAAAGAAAAAATCATTTTCCAGTCGAGACTGGATGGATTGCGACCCTGTGCGAAGGCTGGGTCACTTCGAAGAGCAAGAAGAAAAGTGCCAACGACCCTGCAAGACCGTCAGGGTGACCAAGAAAGCGAAGGAACCCCAAATAAGGAACGTTTCGGAGTTCAGCGATTCCGTGCGGTTGGCGGACTTTAAAAACAGCGGATAGCTACATCGCCCACCACGGTGTACGCACACTTAGTTCAGAAATCACCAGTAAGCAATCAACACGGAGAAAAAAACCTCAGGCGGATAAATCGCGACCTTGAGGAAAAAACCAAAAAGGAGTATCTACGCAGTGAATCAAGGAAGCGGCAGAAACCCCTAATAAGGGCCGTTCTGATCTTCAGGGATTCCTCGCGGTCAATGGCACGTCAAACAACGAAATCAGGCAATATAATAATGTAACCCTTTAAGGTGAAGTGAAACACATCGAGGAACTTGATCGACGTCGATAAAGAAGATTTTTCTAAATACCTACGTTGCCAACGTCCGTTTTTATATTGACAGCTGTATCGAATTATATTGAGTATTGTACCAAATGGCATACTCCACCTATCGTTTTCGTACAATAAATATCAAGAAATCGAAGTAAAACTCCAGAAATCCTCTGGATTCATGCTTTCTGGGGCCTTAATTAACTGCAGAGGGACCCCCTGCGCCATCTATGATTTCCAGGTCAATTAAATTTTCGCTCCGAGACCTCGTATTCCCATCGTTTTAGCATGAAAGAACATAAAACACCTTTTTTGCGTTTATCCTGTTCAAATGCGAGTTTATCGATTACTAGAGTGTTCTAAATTGTCGTAATATTGTCCCGACCCTTTCGTTTCTCATATCAGAGCCTTCGATAATTGTATATCGATCGAAATATGAGAGCTCCATGCCATTTTGGTTCTGGTCTGGGCTAAGTTAAACCATTTTTTCCTGAAATCCAAATTTTGAATGTGTCAGGACAATTCTTAGATGATCAGGAGTGATGTGTCAAAGTTTCGGACAGTTTGGTCTAATACCCGTAAAAAATTGTATTCGAATTGACTGATTTGAAGGGGGTTCCACTTCACCTTAACGATAACCAGAACTACGATTCTACCTTTGTTATACCTCACCGAATTTTGAGCCTAGTGGACGGAGTTATCCCATCCAAAAAGAGGAGCGAAAAAGAGAAGTCTTGTAGTTTCTGGAAAATATTGCTGATGATTTCCGCGGATCTGGGACCGAAGAAGCGCTTCCGCGGCGTTTCTCGCGGCTGATTCGCGAACGGGCGGCGATCCAGCGATCATTATTGCCGATCAAAAGCTACGGCGATTCCTCGGAAGGGGGACAGGTTGCTGCTGGTCGCCCACGCTCCGAGCGATCTCTCGTGGCCGAGTCGCTCGCTTAAATGTCAAGCCTGCCTCTCTTCTCAGTTTCATACGTGCCTCTCGTGTACTTTGAATATTAATGGCCTACAGGGTGGTCCAAAGCAGCGGGGCAAGTTGACCTTTGGTCCCCGCGGCTCGACCGCCGCGACATCCTCGATCAGGGGGGGCCCCCTCTATCGATGCTTCTCTGAACTCTTTGACGGAAGCTCCAAGTTGCGGGATCCAGTTACGATCACCGGAATCACAACATAGCTCCACGATTACAACCGAGGTTCCGATTCGTAACCTAATCACTTTGTTGGTGCAAAGTATTGACCGAGGTTAGAAGACGTACAACACCCCTTTTAAGTTGCATCGAAAGTGGCAAAGGGTGAGAAGAAAAATCTTAGACGGTTTATATTATTTAGAAAAGAAAGCAGGACGAAAGTAAGGGAGCAAACGTGGCATCCTATGTGCAAGTAATTATTTATAGTGCTGTAACGGAATAATAGAATGCACGTACATGTTTTAAGTGCAGCAATGGGCCGATCGTTATTCGAAGCCGTTTGCGTTTTGAACCCGAAGAGACGGATCAATCTACTTTTTGATCTCAAATAAGTATAGAGTATATTTTATTTACTTGATGCTTTAACGTGGACGTAGAGTAGCGGTTCGTTCAATGTATTCCCTAGTTTTGTATTCAAGAATTTATTTGATTTATCAAACAATCGGTATCGGGGAACAAGGCACGTAGGACCAACAGTCAGATTTTGTTCCGAATTCGCGCAAACGCGAAATGATATACATCCCTAGAAAACTGTGATCGGTATCGTGAAGAGCCTATCTTCCATACAAAAGGTAAACCTTATTAACCTCGCTTGATCTTATAACGGCGAAGTCTTCGACCACGTTAACCAGTAGTTAGGCGTGGGACCTCCTCGACTTCGTCTTCGAGGGCTTCATGGCGTAATCTATGTGGGAGTCGACCATGCGACACGACACTTTATTCCGTGGCCATTAAATAACTTGACGGGTCCGAAAGTGCCGATTATCGAATTTCAGTTTTATACGATTTATTTGATTACACGCTGCGCCTTAAAAGTCGAGAGGAGAAATTCGTCCGACGCTCTCGTCTCCGAATTTCGGTAACGCCATTCTCCGTTTAGGAAAATAAAATGCACGAAGGATACGCGATTTCGAAATCTTTTGTTCAGAATTATCCTGTCTTACCGCGACGCGGACTCATTAAATTTCATTCATTTAATTGATCGATCGGTGTCGAAAAAGTGAAATTCGGGCACCGTTCCGGCACTCGACTGCGGATGTTGCGTAATGCATGAAATGCACGGCAGGTACGCATGGGTGCACGTGTGTTAAGAGGAAATGTCAGACAGTTTAGTAATAACTAACGAAGTAACTGATAATTGGTACCGAGTGAGAGATAAAAATATATGCCACGAAATGACGAACGCCACATTACGGACTCACTCGATATGTCTTTTCCAAGGGAATTATTCGGAGTATTGTTTCCCGATTTTGTTAAAACTGTAGTATAAATATTGCAGGGGGATCTAAATTTTAGACATTTATTTTTCTTGGACGTGAAGGTGCTTGTTTTGCATACGAATGTCATATTACACAATAAATGAGGGTTCAAAGTCGGCGAGGAACATTTGGAGTAGTTTAATGTGTTATGTAACATGTATTTCATAAATCTCTGTGATACGTAAGAGTAAAATCAGGTATAACATCTATTGCATCACGATACATTCGGATGACATTATCTAAAATGAGGCTCGTTGGCTTTGGCGTGGTTAATTATTAGAAAAAAAAATAAAAAAATTTCGAACTCAATAACTATATGAAAATGCATAATATATGAAAGTGATTGTAACATGACTTAAGGGTTTCGTAAGACCAAACATCTTGCTCGCTACTGTTTCTTTGTTTCATTAATAAAGTAAGTGAGCTAAAGTTATTATTCAGAGAAAGTATAAAAGAACCCTGCGACCGATGTACCGATGAATTTCTTGGAGTAATAATTCTTAAGGTGAAGTGAAACACTCTACAAATCAGTCGATTTGAA